ACTTCGAGCCCAAGGCCCGAGGTGTGAAAACAACCACGGATTATTAAAGCCAACACTAAAACACTTTGATATAGTGCTTGTCCGATTTTTTCCATCAAGTATTCTACTCACAACAGAAAATTTAATTTTAAAAAAAAATCGATCTTTTTTTCATGAAAAGTGAACTTTCCTCATAATACCGTTGAAACACGTCCGATCTGCACAAAATATCGTGAACAAGTGAAACTCAACGTTGCCAACAACCAACACCCGGTGTCATCACAAATTCAAACAAAACGCGCGAAAAAAGTGCGGTGCGTACTTTTGCCCCGTGCGTACTCTTACCCCCACCTACCCTATGTTTCTTACAACCTCCAGACCACAGCGAACTGTTAAAATTTTCTTTGCAAACTTTTTTTGTGCCAGTCTCGAAAAAATTGGGTCATAAAATACATTTTTAAGCAATTTTATGTCTGTTAACATTTTGAGAAGTTGCACTGTTGTCGAAAATGCGGAGCCTTTTGTTCTGAACTGAGTTGAAGCACCTCTCTGTCGTACTAAGAAAATAAGCGGCATGAACATTTGAGATATGCCAAATTTCCTCCAATAAAATCTTTATTTCGAAGAAGAGTAATGAATATTTTCTTTTAAAATTTTCAGATAATTTGGATCTAATCGGGAATAAAATTTCCTGAAAATTCAATGACAAATATTCACTGATTTTTCTAAAAATACATATTTTTCAAAGGAAATTTGGCAACGTCTGATGCAACAGTCTTCCTTAGCATGGCATCTTAGAGCCTCTTATTTTGATCATCTTACCTTCTCCTTTTTTTTTTTTTTTGGCCCTTTCTTACTTTTTGCAGAACCCTCTTCAAATCTGGGCTATGTTCTTGCTCTTTTGCTCAATCACACACTCCCATCTGTGCACAAGTCCCTGCTTTCGCCCTTGAGCTTTCAAAATTTGGAGCTCTATTTTTATGTCTTCAAATTTATATATGTTACTTTATTTTCATTACAGCTTATTTTGAAGATTCCTCTAATGTTGGAACTTTCACTTATCGCCTGAAAGGTTTTAAAGAACAGCCGACGGATCATTATTCAAGACCATATTTCATTGATGCCACCCCATTTTTCAACAAGTATCGTAAGCTGTGTATGGCGGGAAAACCAAGGCATTTGGTTAGTTTATAAAATTTAATTTATTTTATGGTTGTAGTTATACATCATTTTTGCAACAAAATGTTTCTGTCTTTGTTTTGACACGCTTTTCATTATCTCTTATTGTTCATTACTATGTTCTCCATGGACACCGAACTCATTAAGGATTGGCTCGCTTCAATAACTGAGCAACTCTATTGTGACGTTTCAGTTCTGTCTCATACACTTTCTTGCATAAGAAGAAAAGTAACAGATATATTTAGCTAATAATATTCTGATACATATTCCCTTTAAAAGATGGAATAAATATCAAATATATTTGCCCATGTTCCTTTTAAAAATTGAAAAGTATGCAGTGAAACCAAAACATCGCAATAAAAATGGGCAGTTTTGGGAGTAAGCCATTCAACTGGTTTTAATGGTAAAAAATCATCAATAACCTGTCGGAGTATCAGGTCGGATCGGTGTTTCAAGATCTTTCTGATTTTGAAATCAACTCCTCCTGGGCCTCAAAAAATCAGATCCACCATTATAGTTGCTGTTACTATTTGAGGATTAGACTACAGGAAATATTTGGTTATCATAAAAAAAATGAGAAAATCCCACTAGATATTGATGGTCAGATGCGAAAAATGTGCATCTCAATTTCATTGTTTAAAAATCTCCCATCATGTTTTATTTTCTGTAAGGAAAATGAATCAAAAGTTTTCCTTGCAACTTTCTGTGATTTTTTACATAGAGTGAGTGGATAAAATTCTTAGGAAATTTTAATAAAAACTCTTGATTAGTTTTCCCCCAAAATAATAAAACATGAGAAAAGGTTACGAAGATGCAATCTGAGGTTTTTGAGCTTAGCCAACGCAAGTAACCATTACCAGATCCTTTGAAGAGAAACCTTACTCTTGGTGCTCAGGAATACTCTTTTTTTCACTATCGCATTCAAAGAGTTCCTTGAAAGCTTTTGAGTGGAAATTTTCTTGTCGCTTTTTTTTAATAGCACTCCTTCCTTTAAGATTTTTTTAAAAAATCAACAGAGTTGAAACTTCGCAACTTCGCAACTAGAAAACTTTTCATTGAATTTTTCTTTTTCTCTTTGCCCAGCTCCTCATGGATTTCCCCAGGAACGTTTTCCAAGTTTACCGCGACAAACCAAAATTTGTGTTCAGTTTTCTTGGCGAAATTTCTCATGATTCCTATAACCTCGTCCAAGCGATTGATGACGACTTCGTAGATTGGTTAAGATGGTTTGAAGACGGTAATTATTTGAATAACACTCTCCTAATCGTCATGAGTGACCATGGACCAAGGTTTGTTGAAGAAATATTTCTAAGTATGTTTTATAAAATATATAAGTACCTATATTTAGTAATAGAATATTATTAAAGGATCTGAGGTTTGTAAGCAATATTTTTGAAAAAAAGATTACACAATACTAAGTATTGTGTAAGGAGCTAATTTCCAAAATTGAATCTCAAAGTGTTTAATGTAAAAATGATTAAATGACCTCAACTCAATTTCAAGTTTTTAAATACTTTTAGTTTTTTTCAGGCTGTAAGGTCAAAATCCTGTGTAATTTTCAACTGCTAACCTGTTTCTCTTGGCATCATGAAAATGTCACTTAGCAAGTTTATGCTCTAGATACTTCAATTGGACGTAATTCTGCCACATGGAACTGTGTGCATTATGATGTGAGCCCTGTTACGCATATATTCTTATGGGTCACAGGGCTCACATCTTAATGCACATAGTTCCGTTTGATAGAAATACGTCCAATTTAGATAATGTATCAATGATGAAACTGAAGGAATGCTTAGCTCTTTTTGCAATGTTGCAGACTCTTTATCATATTTTATGTTTCAAATAAAAAAGTGTCCCAAGTCATTTTGATATCTTTTTGGTCAATCTTCTCTATGCAAAGAATTAAAAATGGAACTTTCAAGCAATAGCTTTGATTTGTTCTTGTGTAGCAAATGAAAATAGGAGCAGAGTTTTTGAACACTGCAAAGGAGATTCATATTCCTGCAGTTACACCGTTGATGTGTCATGACGAATGTAGTATGGACAGGTAATGTTGACATTAAACGAGGAGAAAGTATGAAATGGAAAAAAAAAGTTAAATTATGTAACAGCTTAAGGGTAACGTTGAAGCTCACTTGTTGGACAGTGCACTTC